TATAATGTAAGACAAGCATTGAGGCATGTTGTTGATGGTTTGAAAGATTCCCGCTTTAGTGGATTTGGTGATAATATTAATGGATTTTTTGATTTAACTACGGATTCAAAGCTTCATAAAATTTTTTCAAATTGGTATGCTATAGAAAATCTACTATTATATCTACAAAAAGAAGCAAATGAAAATAGTTGTAAGTAAATTTAAATAGTTGTAAGTAAATTTAAATTTAATTATTTACTGTACAATATTAAAATAATGGATACAATATTGATATGAAAATTAGTTAAAATTTATATTTGGTGCCTATGACTTACCCAATTAATTATTGAAATTTATTTATATATTTATATTACATATAGATAGTGATGTTAACCAAACTAATTAGGACATTCTTTAACTATGTGATGAATAGTATTACATAATATCAGCAATAACAATAAGTAAGTAAATACCTTATGCAGTATTATTCATCACAGTTTGGGACATTCCAAATAGTTTGGATAATGTCGCTATTTATAAAGTTAGCTAATTTAGATTTAAAATATAATTTGACTAAACTCTAATGCTAATCAAACATTTCTAAAAATATAGACACTGATGCCATTTGTCTTAATAAGAATTTCATTAACATTGCACTTAAAGAGCAATGAAGTACAAAAAAATTAATGAGTATAGGCCTATCCAATATACTGAGTAAAAATCATCCACTTTTTTAAGATCTTTTTGAATTATATAAAAGGCATCTTAGATTAAGAAGTGCTCTATTATACAAGAAACTTAAGTTTTATAATTATATTACATATACTATTCTTAATTCCAAAGATTCTATTTGATTAAAACTTCATATTGGTGACATTGTAGAATTAGCTGAAAATTCTAAAGGCATCATTTATGCTAGGATTAGAGCAATATTTATGCATCAAGCAAATGATGGTCTGAATTACACTTTTTTTCAGTTTGAAAAATTTCAGGAATTGAATCTTTTAGATCCAGTATTAGAATGTTTATTTTATAAGGTTCATATATCTGAAGTATATATTTTTCTGATTAACTATGTTAATCGCATCCCTCATGTACATTTCTTACATGCTTGTATAAATATGTGTAATAATAGGAACTGTCACTATATTTTAAACAAATTTTATTATAATATAATCTAATATAAATATGTCATATAGCATATATTGGTATCTAAAATTCAGCATTAAGAATGTGAGTGGACCATATATGATATATTGATACTGGTGCACTGTAGCAAATATAAAAATTTTTATTATATATATACTTTCATTCTAAGTTTATCCATTTTAAAATCAATATATAAGTTCAATTTTAATAAATATATAGATATAATTTGGTTTCAATATTAGCATTTTTGATCATTAGTATTAATTACCAAGTTAGCTTTATAATAACTATAGCATACATCAAAGCTTAAAAAATATATGAATTTAAAAGTTTTATATATTGCATCTATTATTTTAAAACATGTATGCACAAGGTACACATATCGTTAATTTTTAAGGTATGAAAAAAAAAATTTTGATAGACATTCTACTTCTTTACACATTAATTTTAAACACTAGCATATATATTATTCCTCTTATTTTTACATTAAATATCAAATGGCTAGAAATAAAAGACTTCAATTTATTAGTACATAATGATAATAAAAGAATACCAAACAATTTGTACTTATAATTTTGGAAAAACCTACCAATCATACTTTAATATATCTCTTCGTCAAATTACTAAAAGTGCTGTGGCATAGCCAACCAAAGTTACACAAAATTATACAGCCAACCAGACATAAAGTATGCCTAATTTCTCTTTTGAAATTGATAGATAACTGTCCTAATATTACCAACCTAAAAAATTTCACTAAAAAAATTTTGCTACTAGAATAGTGTTGGATTTTGCTATTAATTTAAGTTATAAAGAGTTCTTCTAGTATTAAGATTTTATAAGAAAAACTTTTGATTTTTTGCATAACACCTGATCTTGAAATATGATTGGTGAGTGAAATTTTTTAGGTTGGTAAGAAACATCAATGTTATACAACTGATCTTTCACCTGGTGTGCAACATATAAAAAATCATTTTACAATACCAGATCATTCTGATTATAATCCAACATCATTATAATCATAACATGTACTAGCAGAATGATCTGGTATTGTAAAATAATTTTTTATATGTTGCACATCAGGTGAAATATCAATTGTGTAACATCAACGTTTCTTCCTGTTGTGGTAATGCTAGGACAGTTGATTTAGGGTCTACAGTCATCATAATGCTAGCTGATATTAATTTGGCAAGAATTTGCAAATCATAATGCTGGCTAACTTTACATAATTCTGGTCAATCGCAGAATCAGGCTTTCTGTTAGTACAGTATAGCAGTAGTTAGGAATGTAAAATTTCAGTAATTTTATATAATTTTATATAATTTTATATAAATTTACATAATTTTGTGTAAGATTTGGTAAATTAAATTTCATGTAATTGTAATTTTAATATTATGATATTTGCATAATATTGATTAGATGAATTAACATCATACGTATATATCAGTTAGATCTGTTAAGTTTATTGACTAACAATAATGCTAGTCAAATTCTATAACGCTAGTACTTTGTATATTATATTACATGAAATCTGTTATTTATGTAACACATCCCTATCAAAGATTATACATATGATTAGAAAGTTAATGCCAGCCAAAATTAAGCTTAACTCTGCAGTAATTTGGTAACTTACAGTCAGTAAGTTTATATTTACTGAGTAGTATGTAAGATTCATAAAATTAAATTTTATGTAATTTATACATAAAAGTACCAGATCTTTATCTTATTTTATTCAAATTACTGTATGCGAGAATATTTATCTAATAAAAGATTTACTAAAGTAGAAAATTTTTTATTTTATTCTATTTTTAAACCTTTTACTCAAATTAGAGTTGTTATCTGAACAAGCTTAATTAGTAAAACAAATGATTGTTTGAGAAAACAGGACCCTGGCGTTACAAACCTAAAAAATTTTACTAAAAAAATTGGTTTTAGATAGAGTCAAGTTGGCAATTAGTTTGATTAGAAAAGGCTTGATTAATGCTAAAAATTCACAAGAAAAGATTCTGTTAGTACACAAGGAATTTCATAGGTAAAATGCTAAATATAAATGATCTTTTATATTTTGTTTTTATGTTCTTTTTGCATTACAACTGATCTTGGAATTTTATTTGGCAGTAAAATTCTTTAAGGTAGTAATGCCAAGTAGTGATGTTAGTGGAACATTGAATGTTGGATATTATTATTATAAAGGAATTGGAGTTGAAAAGAATGAGCATGAGGCATTTATTCGTTTTCAAAGATGGGGAAAGCTGATAGAATATATAAGCTCGGATAAGAAATTGTTGTTTAATTGAAAAGGATGAATTAAAGCAATCATTTATTATCTAAAATCTGCAGAGATGATGGGATGTCTAATGTTCAATATTATTATGATGAAAGAATTATAGTTGAAAAGGATGAATATTAGGCATTAATTTATTTTCAAAAATTCACAAAGATGGAGGATGCTAATAGAAATTAGTGTTAATTTAATAAAATTGGAGTTGAAATGATGAACATAAACTATTCATTTATTATTAACATTTAGCAGAGATGGGTGACATTAGTTGGATGTTTAATGTTGGATATTATTATAATAAAGGTATTGGTGTTGAAAGAATGAACATAAGGCATTAATTTATTTTCAAAAATCCACAAAGATGGGAGATGCTAATGGAATATATTATTTAAGTAAGAGATTATTGTTAATTTAATTGGATTGGAGTTGAAAGAATAAGCATAAACTATTCATTTATTATCAACATTCAGCAGAGATGTGTGACATTAGTAGGACATTTAATGTTGGATATTATTATTATTAAGGAATTGGAGTTGAAAAGTATGAATATAGGGTATTTATTCATTTTCAAAGATGAGAAACACTAATAAAATATATAAGCCTGATAAAAAATTGTTGTTTAATGGAATTGAAGTTGAAAAGAATGAACTAAAGTAATCATTTATTATCTAAAATCTGCAGATATGAATAATGTTAGTGGGATGTCTAATGTTTGATATTGTTATGACAAAGGAATTATAGTTGAAAAGAATGAACATAAGACATTCATTCATTTTCAAAACCAGGTAAGAGATTATTGTTACTTTAATGAAATTGAGTTGAAATAATAAACATAAACTATTAATTTACTATCAAGATTCAGCAGAGATGAGCGATGTTAGTGGAACATTTAATGTTGAATATTATTATAATAAAGGTATTGGAGTTGAAAAGAATTAATGTTAGTGCATTCACCTATTTTCAGAGATGAGAAATGTTTATAGGATATATATTCCTGTGTAAGAGATCATTGTTTAATGAAGTTGAAGTTGAAAAAAATGAATGCAAAGTAATCATTTATCTAAAATCTACAGAGAAAAGTGACATTAGTGGAATGTCTAATGTTTAATATTGTTATAATAAAGTAATTATAATTAAAAAAGAATAAATAGCATTTAAAAATTTATGAAAATGAGAAATATTAATAGAATATATTATATAATTTAGGTAAGAAATTATTATTTTAATGAAATTGAGTATATAAAGAATTTATCTATTATAAATAGTAGTCTTATACATTTGTTTTTTTTTAATGCAAAATTATTT